TAGATATAGATATAAAGTCGAGATCCACCGAAGTAACATAAATTAAATTTAGACTGAGACTGTCGTGTCTATGGAAAACCGTGACCATGCTTACTATGATTGTTTTATGTGGAGCGTCGTTGGCAAGATTGACAAGGAACGGCTATATCCGAGACGGATTTTATAGTTACATCTACATAATACTTTATCTGCGAGTTGTTTTGCGCTTTATATTTTTTTTCTTACCTTTACATCTATGTGGACGTTCACGATCAAGTTAGGCATGGCTGTTTTGGAGTGATTAATATATGCTTCTGTATAGTAAGGTGAATAGAGTGACGTAACTATCGATATTTATTTACTTCAGTCGCTGTATATAGAAAAGTCTAGAGAGTAGGGCTTCTCTACTATTTAAGTATCACGCTTCATTAGTGCGTTAAATAACGCTTTCAGATCGCTCTATCGTTTGCGACAGGCTTATTGTTTATGAACTGTTTTTACTGTTTTTGTCGATTTTGCCTTAAAAAATGAATACGAATATTGTGTGTAATTTAGAAGGCTATGAATATTGGTACAGATAGGGGACTAAAAATTATGAATTTATGTAATGTATATTGATGGATTACGACTGACGAGTGACGACTGACGATTGGCGACTGACGTCTGACAGTGACAGTCTGACACTCAGGATAGTGATGAGTCTGAAAACTCTGAATTCTGAAATACATTTCACAGTATTTGCCTAGCCACCCTAATATGGAATGAACAAGGGCGCCAAAACGACCCAGGTATGAGCCATAAGTGATGAAGCCATAAAATGGGGATTTTTTTTATACTAAAGGGGAGTCGATTTTAAAAGACCGAACCAAACCTATTAATCCCAATATTTTTTTCTAGACTTTTTGAAACATTTTTATATATAAAATTGCACTGGCGCTTCTATTGGTTCATGCAGTTATGCAGTTATGTATCGATGTGTGCACTTTTCGGCCTTGCCAAAACTTGGATTTCCGGGTCGCGTATTAACATCTTGAACCTTCTAAGGGTTCATATATATAATAAATACAAGTATTATTACTTCAAACCCTTTATTATGGTATAGAGGGCTAATTATAATTGCTCAAAATCACCATTCAAGTGCATGCATGTTAATCAATGACTCCATGACAAGTTAATCAATGACATCCATTTGGTGTGCGTATTCATAAATATGGCTTCGTTATGATTTTTAGACCTTCGTTATACTTACATAACCATAATTAAACCATAATAATGTGCTTTTAATCGTTTGTGGGTGAATATTTAGTGAATTTTGACAAAAAGTTCATATATATATATATATATATGTATATATTCCTCTGCGTGTACGCATATACTTATATATGTACATAAATCTCTATACAGACAGATCCTAAATAGTACACGTCTCAAGGATTGGCTTTTGATCGATGTGAAGAAATACTGGCGAGTTTATAGGGGGCTCATTTTACTTATATGCCTGTCAATCATTCAGCATGTCGATATCACACCCGCCTGGGAAGCGCACAATGCGCGTATTGTGTCTACATGGAGGCAGACAAACAGCTGAAATTTTTCGGAAGCGCATGCACAGGTTAACTCCTGCGGACACGATGCAAGCAGTGGATTTTGTGTACATAGATGGTCCACACTCAGTCCATTCTTTAGATGAGAAGTTAGAGTCTACAGGCCACTTTAAATCGGAACCCACGAATAAGGACTCTGATGTTCAGCCGGAAGGGGACAAGGATTCTAGTCACTTACGTACCTGGTACACTCATATGCGTAATGCATCACATACGTCTGATTTCGTTGTAGACTCTACGTCTATATTGCAGACTTTGTCAAATATCAAACAAGTGTGGAACCAGTTTGGACCTTTCAGTGGACTGCTGGGGTTCAGTGCTGGTGCGACTATCATACCATTCATAGCGAAAGATCCCATACGTTTCCCTGGGCTGTATTTTGTGATCATGGCCTCCGGCGCAGACATTGACTTGTACCCAATAGTAGGTCACGGTCAGAAAGGTATTAAAGATTGGTGGTTGTACTTTGCTGGATATATACCGTGGCCATTGCGTGTCTTATGTCTGGTTTTAGCTGGTTTTGCTGGTCTGTCCGCCAGGGCGAGTTGTTGGGTTGATATTTCACGTTTTCGCCAGTACTTCTAAATCTGTAAGTGGTATTTGCAGTCTAATACCAAGAATTCTAGCTCACGATGTATCCGCTCGTAAATGACAGTGCTGCCTGTATTCAGCAGAATGCAGCCATAGTTGAAACTTAAATTTTTATCCCCGCTTTATATTGCTACTACGGCATAACATTTGACCCGCATCGCGGACACTTCAATACCATGTTATGATACGCACGTGGAAACCGTATAAACCTATCAGAGATATAGGATGCATCTGGAACCAGTGCCTTATTATTTTTTCTAGAATATAAACCTGTTTACGCTCACACAATTACATCCTCGATTCAGCTGTGCTCTCCCATTCAGACATACCATGGTACATACAGTCTTTGCATCTGGTGGGTGATACCGATGACTTGGTAGTGCCATCACGTAGTCTACAACTTGCTGAGGCTTTTCACGACCCAAGGATTTACCGCCACACACTGGGTCATTGTGTACCATTACGACGGATAGACCGAGATGAATTCACATCATTCTTCAAGCGACAAGTAGAGGTAACACTACACATTTGTTTATTGGCGGTACTAATATCGTGTGACATATACGTACCTATTTTGTGATATATACGTACATACTTATATCTACTGGTCACTGACACTTCATCAGTTCCATGATAAAAGCGTGTAGTGTAGATTGGTCCGTTGGGGTTTGTTTCCGATGACCTATGCCATTCGATCCTGATGTGAAATTGATCATGGTTGTCGCCGTGTTACATACATGAAGGCTTATACTACTTCACAAACACGATTATTTGCAGCTATGGAATGACGGTCCTCTCGTCGAAGCGCTCATCGAAGAATTTGAAGTGTTAGAAGCCATTTTCGGTGATGATTTCTCTAGCACTACAATTTCCCAGGAATTTCAGGGCAACTGTGCCGCCAATGACTTGCAGTTTATAAATTGCAGATGTCGTCTGGGTAGTGTTGCCGAGGATGGTGACTTTGATATCGGCCGTTTGTTAGATGTTCGCTTTACAATTGGTCCACACTATCCAAATCAACGCCCGTTTTCTCGTATTCAATTTCATACCGAGAATGACCCTGAAATTGGTAAGCTTTGATCAAACGAAGATGATTATTGGAACTTACTTATTGCAGTTTCATTTTACGGTGTGTTTCCCAATTTGAATGTGCACAGAATTGTGCTTATTAAGCGATGTAGATGTTTTTTTCCAAGCCGTGCTTGTCCTCGAGCTTACATCATAGCCTCTAGGATCCACAGCCAGATAATAACCCGTACAATGTCAACTTCGACCAGATTCGTGTCAGTTCAAAATGTTGACGAGAGCATTTATAGATGTTGGAAAGGAATCGACTGTATCAATCTCTAGGTGTGCAATGGATCAAAAGGACATACAGACATCCGATTTTGCACCCAATACCACCTTACTATATATGCAGATGGTAAAGTGATTGAGAAAACCACAGTTCCAAAAGAGCTTGCGTCAGCCATTCTGGAGGGCATGCACCAGGCCGTACTTGATCACGGGAGTGAGCCAATGTTATTTGACATGGTGCAAGCTGCGAATGTAGTCATATCAGCTTCAACATGGACTACAACAGATCTGTACCCTTCACAACCTTGCATAAAGACGAAAGAGGTATTGCGTTTCAACGTCATTCATATCTATTCCGGGTTTTGCATGAAAGCACAATCTTGCAACAGGTGGAAAATTATGCCCATGCAGGTTGTCTGTGTATATCTGATGGGATGCGAGTTCAAAATCAGGCGTCCTGAGCTTTATATTCTTATCATCTTCCCGATCTATATGGCGTTCTCTATCTCGAACATGACCAAAACGAATATTCATTGTCTAGGATGTGAGCTCTGAAGACTTACTGGTGAGGAACAGCGAAAATGCGGATGCGGATAGTGGCGACTACAGCATTGAGCGTCCCCCAACTCCGATAGATGTGGATATTGCCATCTTACGAGGATCGGCTGCGAACACAGACTCTGTGTCGAAGGGGTCCAGAGGCGTGTGGAGGTTTATTCTGGGCTTGGTGGGAAAGCCGAGCGCAGGTTTGTCGTTGCCAATATAAGCCATTCTTCTTCTGGAATCAAATTGCAGTCCTATAGGGCCATCGAGGCGTTGCGGTTTTTGAGTGGCGCCGGAGTCTGATTGAAAGAGTGCGAATTAATTATGTCTCTCATTATTCGTGTGCCATATTTGGGTGTTGTGAGTTGTCATATTCTAAGATTCCAATGGCCCCCTTCCACACTCAGTATCTTAATTTTAGACTGCTCTTTCACACAGCGAACTATCAGGTTGACTTTATAAATTAACTTTCATGTTGGTACTTGTATGACCAAAAGAAAGATTTGCTCTCACATCCCACATCAATATTCTCGCAGGAAAATCGACATTTTTCAATGGCGCAACCGTGTCGTCGAATGCAAAAGTTGCATCCCATCCCTTTACAACAATCAAACCGAATGTCGGACTGGGTTGGTGGCACAGCCCACCAGATGATAGGCACATACCACTGCTAATCAAAGATGTGGCAGGCTTGGTCCCGGGTGCGAGTGTAGGAAAGGGGAAAGGTAGTGTATTTTTTTGTTTTCGAGTGTGAATGGCGAGTACGACTAGCTCTTTGCTTGCAATTTGCTTCTGATCAACTACATGTTAGGAGTGGTACAATGTATGTGCGTGTCTCTGTTCGTGTAGGAAAGTGACAAAGGGATGCCATGCGCACGGATTTTTTGCATTCTTTACTGCTGTGAATACTTGAGATTTAAAATGGATGCACCTCGTATAGGATTCCGCTCGATCGAACCGAACAGGAAATTGCCTTTTCATTGCTTCATAACATTTTATCCGGTTCTAGGACTCTGCAACACAAAAACAAATTACTTATGCGCACGCTGAATGTCGCACCTATCATAGGAAACCAGTTTTTGAATGATTTGTTAGAAGCCGATGCGCTGATTCACGTCGTTGACTGTTCGGGACGAACTGATAAAGAGGGCAACATCACTAACTATGAGAAAACAAAGGGAAAGGTGTGTTCAAATATTTGTGTTTTTTTACGCAAGCTTACCTGGAGAAAATCGTACCTTCTGCCTGTGTTGATAATCTATTGTTTAGTTGGTGCCATATACTCTAAGTAGCACCCCAAAGGCCGTATCCCTTGACGATGGCTTCATTTAAGAATGTGGAGTGGCATGCAATGTGATGAAACGTCCTTGTAGATTTGTGTTTTTAGTAGGTGCACAAATCTTGTGCTCACATATGGCTATGTGTATTCTTATTTAGAAATATAAATGTATATATATATATATATCTGTCTTTCTGTCTCTATCTCTATCTGTCTATCTATCTATCTATCTATATGTATATCTATATATGTATATATATATATATATATGTGTGTGTGTGTGTGTGTATGTATGTGTGTGTGTGCGTGTATTTATAGATATAGACCTGTCTAGAAGTATAGACACTATAAGTATGTTGAAATGTCCACGGACATACGTGTGCACAGGAGAGAGATACCCCGAATATCGCACATGACCCTCTTGAGGACGTTGTTTGGGTACGTGCGGAACTGCATGCCTGGATCTTCACAAATGTGAAAAGGAAATGGGAGGCGATCAAGAGTAATCCTAAGAAGCTCCCGGGCATGTTCAGCGGCTACCATGCATCCAAGTGGCTAGTACAGGAAGCTTTAAGGTACGTTGTGTATAATTGGACATTTCCAAGACTATCGTCCAAC